CTGCCATCTTCACATAATGACCCCAAACTGATGACTATACACAAGAGCCACACCCTCCACCAGTTTGAAAACCCAATAAAACTTGGTATAAAAAATATCTTGACTCCATTAAGTAACTTTATAAAGCCACGGTTCTCATTAACTCCATCATCAATTCTCACTTTTTCTCTTTTCATTGGCTCAGGAAAAAATGCAAGATAAACCAAACAGAAAATTGATGTACCAATTATCAATAACACAGGTGGCACAAAATCACAATTGTCACTCTGTAGCCAGTTATACCCAATCAAGAAACTCATGATAGTTCCAAAAGATATGCAACTTTCGAGGATCCCCATACGAGCTGCCAGCCATCTCTTGGGTGTCACATCGGATGCAGCAGCAAATACAACACCACTCATGGTAGCATACCCTCCTCCTAAACCATACACTACCATACAGAGCAGATTATAGTACAAGTTCAACTCAAAAACTACAATAACCAATTGCAGTATTCCAGCGAGAAGTATAGCAATAAAGAGAACAAAAAAAATTGGCTTACGACCAACTATATCAGAGAGTGGGCCATAAAGTAATGCCATCAATGAACCAGCACTCAGTGATATGACCTCATTGTACATGTTGAAATGATTAGCACCAGTTTGCACCTTCTCAAAGGTAGCATTGCTTGTGCGATTGACAATGTAAGTTTGGTTGAGACAAAAAGACACAGTAGTAGTAGTATCATTGGCAAGGGCCAGAGCATCTTGGGCAAGCCTTTGAAAGAATAGCTGCGAGTATATTTGAGAATGATAAAGTACCACGAAGTAAAAAAGTAAAAAGAGAACTTCTACAGGAAATATCTTATACCTGAGTCCCTTCCAGTCTCTCCTAGATCCTCGACTAGCACTAGAACTTTCTTGCTGCACAGCGGAGTTCATTTTAAAGCCCACCATCCAAGATAGTGCTGGGCGATATATCAAAATTCACGATATTTAATCGATATAATGTGGTATCGATACATATCAATATCGAAAAAAATTGAAGAAAATATCGATAACGAGGCCACGCCCACAAAATGGTTACATAACCTTAATAAATGGTTAATTAACTATAGGAGTAACATCTCGAAAATTACTAAAATGTATTTTCTTGGAAAGTAGATGAAGTAGCTGAAGTATATGAAGCCAAAGAAGGTTTTTATAATGCTTTTCAATAATAATTGTTCTCAGAAATAGCTTTATTTAGCCATTTTAGTAATATTAAAGTTAATGGGTGTGGCTTAATAACTTATCGATAAAAATATCGATATCCTCATTTTTAGGCAATATCGTATCATATCGTATCGTTTCAAAATTTTCAATATCGCCCAGCACTAATCCAAGATCAAAGTAACCACAAAGTTGCTTTATTAGGAGATGATTAATTTTAGTGGCGAGGAATAATACTAGATCTAATACCAGTAGATAATTTTGCAAACTATTTTTTCGGTTTCTAGAAGTATGTATGCTCATATTTGTGTGCTTTTATATTAAGTTAATTATTGCTGCCAAAATGCCCAAAAATGAATTAAAATAATTCAATTTTATTAGTTATTGATTGATGGTTGCACCATAGTTGTTACTATTGGAAGCAAGCAATTTCTCTTCATCAACCAATTGGACAGGATTAGCCTTATGTACTTTTGCTTTAAATACATCAAAATACAGCAAAATCCTATAAAAAGGTAGTATATCTAAGTTTATAAAATAAATATCTTACATAACAAGTGGGATGTTTATTGCCCATATTCCAGCAGATACCCAAAATATGACACCAGCATTGATATTATGACCATTAACAACTGCTTCGGGATGATATACTTCATTGAACAATATTGAAGCTCCACTTGAAGATACAGCTTCCAATGCAGATACTAGAGTTAACACAGAACCTGAAAAAAGATAAGTCTTTCGTCATTAATTAGTTTAATGGTATTTTCCCTTACCATATAATTTTGGGCTGACATACAATGCCAACATAGATCGCATTACAGGAAACCCAATGTCACGGATGCTTAAAAATCCTCCAACTACATAACATCAAACATGAATATCATAATTGTTTTGTAATTTCTCACCTACAAACATTTCCCATGTTTTCCTTACAAACCCAGTTAACACATTGCATATTACTGCAGTAAAAATAGGAATTAAAATAATAAAGTGCTTCCAAAATTCCAAAGAGATTAAAATAGGACAGAGTATAAGTAGCGAAAGTGCATTTAAAACATTAAAATAAGCTCCATAATAAGATATAAAACGATACGACCATTCCAAGGTTTGTTGTATAAAAAATAATTGATGATTTCACCACTGCCAATTTCACATAACGACTCTAAGCTGATGACTATACACAAGAGCCACACCCTCCACCAGTTTGAAAACCCAATAAAACTTGGTATAAAAAATATCTTGACTCCATTAAGTAACTTTATAAAGCCACGGTTCTCATTAACTCCATCATCAATTCTCACTTTTTCTTTCTTCATCGGCTCAGGAAAAAATGCAAGATAAACCAAACAGAAAATTGATGTACCAATTATCAATAACACAGGTGGCACAAAATCACAATTGTCACTCTGTAGCCAGTTGTACCCAATCAAGAAACTCATAATAGTTCCAAAAGATATGCAACTTTCGAGGATCCCCATACGAGCTGCCAGCCATTTCTTGGGTGTCACATCGGATGCAGCAGCAAATGCAACACCAGTCATGGTAGCATATCCTCCTCCTAAACCATACACTGCCATACAGAGCAGATTATAGTACAAGTTCAACTTGAAAACCACAAAAACCAATTGCAGTATTCCAGCGAGAAGTATAGCAATGAAGAGAACAAAGAAAATTGGCTTACGACCAACTATATCAGAGAGTGGGCCATAAAGTAATGCCATCAATGAACCAGCACTCAATGATATGACCTCATTGTACATGTTGAAATGATTAGCACCAGTTTGCACCTTCTCAAAGGTAGCATTGCTTGTGCGATTGACAATGTAAGTTTGGTTGAGACAAAAAGACACAGTAGTAGTAGTATCATTGGCAAGGGCCAGAGCATCTTGGGCAAGCCTTTGAAAGAATAGCTGCGAGTATATTTGAGGATGATAAAGTACCACGAAATTAAAAAGTAAAAAGAGAACTTCTATAGGAAATATCTTATACCTGAGGCCCTTCCAGTCCCTCCTAGATCCTCGACCAGCAGTAGAACTTTCTTGCTGCACAGCGGAGTTCATTTTTAGAGCTATGCCTTATAGCTTAATTAATATGTGAGGGCGGGGTTTGTTTGTTTTGACCACACCTTTAATCACTCAGGAGTCAGCAGTAATGGTGGAAAATTTGGTAAACTGTTTCTTGTTGCTGCTTGTTCTACTGGTTTCAGTCTTAAATGGACTACCAACCCGGCCAGAACTCACTGTTAGAGACTCTGCAGTTAGGTAAATGTAAAATCTTATTATGAATTTATAGCATCACTAATTTATTAACAGTTACAACCAATCATTTGAGTGTGTGACTGCATCTGAATGTTATCCTCCTGATGTGACAGATACCAGTCTCATTTTGTGTGTGCAAGGAGTCTGTCTCTGTTATCCTTGTTTCCAGTTTGACTCTGGGACTGGGAAGTGTTCAGTATCACAATGTTTTACATATGAACCAGCTACTGACGAATGTGTCGATAATAGAAAAAGTCAAAGAGAAGCGTTCCTATTTTCTTTCTTTCTCTCCTCTCTCGGCGTCGCTAATTTCTACATAGGCGAAATCATATTGGGAATAATACAACTATCAATTACTCTTTGTTTCATATGCGTATGCTGCTCTTGCTGTTGCTATATGTGCTGCCTAGTCTGTAGCGAGGACTCATGTACCTGTTGCTTCAATGAAGTAAGTTATAGGCTATGCGTGAGTGCATGTACATAGCTCCATTACAACAAGCAATATTATTAAGGAAAGAGATCTAGTTCTTCTGTTACAATTGCATTGGTAGCATAGATAGGCTTGTTGATGTATCATCACTTGACTAACTCGTGAATATTTATGCCAATATTCACTGTTGTTCCATAAGGGGCGTAGCATCATTGCATATGTCACATGCTGTGTCGGCATGTTTTTTTCTAAAAACAGCAGCCCTATCAACCCACTGATTTTTTTTACATATTACCAATTTACAATAAATATTGCAACATCTAATGAAATTGTGATTAATGATTGTTCTGGTATGTTTATAGGATAGCTTCTTGCCAGTCTGTACTCTCGTCTCTTTTGTCAGTATTGGATTTTCTTTATTGTTGACTATAGCTTGTTGGTGGATTGTCGATCTCATTGTATTCATCTTAAATGAAAGAAATGCTGGAGATGGTTGCACACTTAGAAATAACTTATAACAAATTTTTTTTATTACTGTGTCATTTTTAATCAAAAATTATAGTTATAGTCTAATTATTCATTGATTACTTCCTGTTGCATCTAAAGACTGAAAAGATGCACAGTTCACTGCTTCTTGCTATCTCCTTTTTCTCCTTGTCTCTTGTAGCTGGGACGCCTCTTGGGAGTGAAAGGTATGTCCAAAGTCCTTGATAAGCCAAATAGACTCTAAACTATTGTATCAATTGGTAGTATCGATATCCAAACTCGTCAGTCACGGAATTGCTCTTTTTGTTTTCCTCCCGGAGTGACAACAGTGCCTACAAGCCTCATTGATTGCCCTAATGATAGGTGTGCCTGTACTGAGTGCTTCAGTGTCAATACCACCGCTAATGTATGTGAATATACTGTCCCATCTCCCTCTGATTGCTATTATTACAACGAGGCAACACTGCAGTGCATAGATAACCGTAAATCTCAAGTAACTGCATTTGCCCTCTCTCTCACGCTGTCCGGATTTGGAGTCGCAAACTTCTACATAGGTCAGAATGGGCTTGGTGCAGGCCAGCTGGTACTATTCCTTAGTATCTTTGTGATAGTTTACATCATTGCATGCACCCCTTGCTGTGCTATCTGCTGCTTCCAGGCAGAAAACATAAAAGTGAGCAATCAGCTACATTCCAGACTATAAACTTAACCTTATTATCTTTCCTATAGGGGTCCATTGTATTTATTTGCTTTATGCTTGTGATGATTTTACTCATAATTGCCATCTCTTTTGGCATAACTGGTTGGTGGATTGCAGATGCCGTCATATTTGGAACCAACAAGCGAGATGCTGGCGATGGCTGTCCCTTAAAACCAGACCTTTGAAGAGACTATATGCAAGAGTGTATGACCCAATGCCCCATATCATGTATACTCTTGCTAATTAAAATTGATATTACTGTAATGCCATACTGTAGCTCGATCTGTAATATTTTATTTTATTTCTTTTAAAAAACAATACAATTTCTTTTTTTTAAACAATAGTCTATTTTATTTATTAAAAAAAAAAACAATAATATGAATGAAAAATAGCTAATACAAACTATAATAATTACGCTACTGTATAAAAGTTAGTTTTCAAAGGTTTTCAATTAGGTAGCATCCATCTCCATTCGTACGTCGGTTGGTACCAAAGTACACAAGATCAGTGATCCACCATGCAAAGAACATCATTGACAGGAGACAAGTTGGCACAGCAATGAAACAACAGACACCCAATTTTGCTGCTTTGTTGTCCTTGTCTTTGACACATTCCTTAGCACATCGTCCAACGCAGCTCATTGCACAGAGTATGATCCCAAAGATAAGCTGAGGGACTGCAAAATCGTATCGTTCAATGTAGAAATTTGCTGCACCAGTCCAGGTTAGGAAGAATGACAAAAGGAATGCTGTTAATTGCTTTTGTCTTCTATCAATGCACCCGTTATCCGAATTCTGATCATTGGGATCATAAGCAGTGCATGGAGGATCCAGATAGCAGCGATTGGTGGTAGTGTTGAGCATAAAGCAGGCAGTGCAAGCGCACCGTCCATTGTTACAGGTTACACGATTAAGAGGAATAGTGACGTTTAGGAGACTTTCTGGATTGCAATCTGTATCATCGACGCATTGATTATTAACCTGGCGGAGCTCAAAAGGTATGGCAGTGGCTGTAGCAGCCAAAAGCAAGAAAGAAACGCAACAAAACAGAGTAAGGGCCGACATCATTGAAGTGGATGAGTAACTTGATGAGTGATGACCAAAAATTATTCATCAAGATCTTTTATAAACTAAATTTAATCAGCCCCGCCCAACTCCGCCTACAAAATAAAAATGGGGAATGACAAGGAGCACAAGGATAAAGATAAAAAGAAAGACAAGAAGGAAAAGAAAAAAGATAAGAGCCACAAAGAGAGATCTAGTCACAGCAGACACAAACATGAAAAAAGCAGACGTCGCACAGGCTCAGATAACTCAGATGAAGACAGGGGGCACCATAAACATCGCCATCATGATAGTGATAGAAGTAAGCACTGTACATATACGTACCTAGTACTGGCAGGCCTTTATATTAATATTACAAACTGTGACGGAATCCTTACGGGCTTGTTTTTGTATTATAGAGAAGTCCAGGGGTCACCAAAGGGATGAGAAGAGAAAGAGAAGTCCAAGTGCTGAATCAGGGGAAAGAGAGATATCGAGGTAAGCATACTAGTATATATATATATACATAACTATTAATAATTATTGGTGACATTCCTGAGACCTATCTAATTATGAAAAAGTAGTTATTATAATAACTACTATAAAGTGCATTGCTGATAAGGAAATGTTTTTCATTAAGGAAATGACATAATCTAATATCGCAGGTCAAAGTATTATGACAAAACCAATGACAGTATCAGTACATCTATATTCACGATAAAAGGTTGTGACCTTATACTCACTCACGACACTTTGATCTTAAAGTGATTCTTGTTATGCTGCACCGTCTTCATCGTGAATTGTTGTTTGTGCCTTGTGACATTATACATTTTGTAATTTATTGTTTTTGATAATAAGCAATGCAAATATCTTATTATTATTACTACCGTATAACGGGGAATTGGAAGGAATTAAATTTGGCAAATTTACATTCTGACAGCCATTCGCCAAAATAAAAACCCGCCATTTTGAGCCATTATGTGCATGCTCAATGGCACCTGGCCACAAATTTGCCAAATTAAAATCCACCAATCACCCAAAATTTAACAATTCGCCAAATTTTACTCCCTCCAAAATTTCCCGCTATATGGTATTATAGTAAACAGCTGAAAATTGAGACAGAGGACTTCAATGATGGTAGCACTCTTGACGATACCTTAAGAAGACAAGAAGAAAGAAATGAAGGGACCGGAGGAGAAGGAGAAATGGAAAAAAGAGGAGGAGGAGGAGGTGCTGGCTTAGAACTGAGTATTGAAGAGACAAAGTAAGTCAAAGTCAGTTTTATTGGTATTGCTCATTATTATTGTTTCATTGACTAGTAAACTGAGGCTTCAGTTGGGGCTGAAACCACTTGATGTTGGGCCAAGGACAGGAGGAGAGAGTAAAGAAGGAGAGAAGACTGACAATGACACTAAAGGTAAATTGTATTAGCGATTACGTGTACATGTACAGCACCTATACTTATTATAAGTGGTATTACTCATTGCTGTACTGGTGTAATAGTTTATTTGATAACAATGACTATAGCAATAGTAACAGTAACTATTTGATGCGTCATTGTTTTGTAACTGACAAGGTCAATTCAATTAGTATAAAGCAATGGTCTGTCAAACTGTCACCCAGATGAGTAGATACTGTGAATTATAACAATGAAAACATACACACACTTTCACTTCTCTTATCCACTGACTGTCTCTATTACATACATCAAGAATGCAACCACCTTAGTTGACCTTACATCATATACAAAAAAGAAAATGAGAAAAAGAAATGGATATCATTTCAATAATTTTTATTTAGAATTTTATTTTACTCTTAAAGGGCTCCTACTTGTGTATAGCAGTGATATATAGCTATTATATGCATCAATATATTGTATAATGCACTACACACGGAACTATGTACATGCTTACATGCAGATGTACATGTATACTTAGCACTACAGTATAGTTTGACATGATTAAGCTGCTGCATTTTTGTTAGATAATGAAGAAGAGGAGGAAGAGGAAGCTCCTAAGAAGAAAGAAGACGTTCACGTTCCAGCAAAGAACATCGGAGAAGAAAAAAAAGCTGAGAAGGTATTGCCCTGTCTCACACTAATAGAAGGCTTTACTCTAATGCATGTGCCTGTAGATAAGAGAGAAATTAGAATTAATGAGAGAATCACGTAATCTGGCAAGGAAGCTAGCTACAGTACGTGGACTAGGACAGGATACGAGCACTGATGAGAGTGCTACAAACTGGGTAACAAAAATGAGGGAGAAAGAAAGGGAAAAGAAACTAGCTGAACAAAGGGTAAGGAAAGTAATTCATGCACTGCATGTGCAATTGTACATGTGCATGTTCTGTGTGTTTTGTCAGTTGTCAAGCCTCAGGTCCATCAGTGTAAAAGTGATTCAGTAAAGTAGACCTTTGATGATGGAGTTATATGTATGTATTAGCTAATGGACATTGAGCAAATTAATGCTACAGTAGATATTGAATTACTGCTTAGCTAATCATCTCCTGATTCACACTATTGACAGCATTATCAATAAGATTCACACCTGCATCACTATAGCTGACACAATGTATTTATAGACTCATCACTTAATATTATAATAATGATAGTATAATAATGGTTGGTGTCATTCATAATGACCACTTTTAGGCTCAGCTACTGGAAGAGATGGACGGAGGATATGACGAAAATGAGGAGAGGGTGGAAGAGACAAAGAAAGACAGTTATTCGTCGCATAATTTAGCCGGACTCACTATTGAGCATAAGGAGGACAGGTTTCAAGAAGGAAGAGACGTCATATTGACACTTAAGGACACAAAGATACTTGATGATGGGGAGGATGTACTCGTGAATGTAAGCATGATTGATGATGAGAAAGGACAGAGAAATATTGAAATGAAGAAGAACCTTCCTGGCTACCAGCCCTACGAAGAGGAGTTTGATGAATATGGCAATGTAAGAGGAGGGATAATATAGTTGTGCAACACTTAGTGTAGTTTAATGGGTCTGGGTACTAATTAAAATTTTTTAGTGTACTTTCCCTTCTGAACAAACACGCAATACATGTAACATATGATGCGTATCACTCCACTGACCTCAGTGACCCATTTTTATTGCATTTTCTGATGTTGTGTAGAAAATCTAAGCTGATTCTGATCGTAATTGGATTTTTAAGAATTTTATAAAGTTGCTTCAAAATTTTGTTAAGTAATAATTGGGTTAAAATCTAGTCAATATGCACTAGTTAGTTGTACAATAAATTAAATTATATTATAGTATACTAATTTATAATGTCCTCCTCGTGTCTTTATGTAGCCCATCACTCGTAGTCTGTTATATAAGTATGATGAAGAGATTGAAGGACAAAAGATACACAAGTTTACTCTTGGTAAGATTACTCGTGTACATGTATGTATATAATGATTTTATGTAATCTCTACAGGTGATACTGGCCAGTATGATGTGGGTGACCTCCAGAGAGAGAAAGAGAGAGCACGCGAAGTCCTCGAGCAGAAAGCAATAGCTCTGGATTTGCCTCAACTTAGCGTGGCTTCAGAGTATTACACAGAAGAGGAGATGGTCAAGTTTCGTAAGAGGAAGAAGAGAAAGAGAAAAGAGAAATTTAAAGTTGAAGACCTTGTTAGTTTGGATAACGAGGGAGGAGGAGGTGATGGCAGAGATCATGGCTCAAGGCAAAGAGATGCTATCAGTGATGAGCCAATGGAAACTAACATTAAACCAGGTGACTGAATGTGTGCATGTACATCATAGGATTTAATGACATTGCTCATAACTTGAAAATTATTTGTCAGAATAAGCTCAAACTTTCTACACAGTATAAGAAGGACATCAATATGTATAAGAAAATGTAATAAAAATTTGGGGTGATTTCGGAGCCATTTTTTGGAAAAAACCATGGGCTATATATAGCCTTGGGTATTTTTTAGATTTTTGATGTTTTCTTAAAATGGCCGTAACTTGAAAAATTGAAGTTGGAATCAGCTCAAACTTTGTACACAGCATAAGTACATCAATATGTATCAGAAAATGTAATAAAATTTTGGAATGATTTCGGAGCCATTTTTTGGAAAAACCATGGGCTATATATAGCCTTGGGTATTTTTTAGATTTTTGATGTTTTCTTAAAATGGCCGTAACTTGAAAAATTGAAGTTGGAATCACCTCAAACTTTGTACACAGCATTAGGACATCAATATGTATCAGAAAATGTAATAAAATTTTGGGGTGATTTGGAGCCATTTTTTGGAAAAAACCATGGGTTATAAGCCTTGGGTATTTTTCAAAATTTGGCATTTTCTTGAAATGGCTATAACTTAAGAAGTTGAAGGCGGAATCAACTCAAACTTTCTACATAGCATAAGGACATCAATATGTATCAGAAAATGTAATAAAAAATTGTGGTGATTTTGGAGCCATTTTTTTGGAAAATTTTGGCATTTTCTTGAAATAACGTACTATACTATTAAAAATGCATATTGATCCCTTTATGAGGAAATTTGAGCCAATTATGACAGTTATGTCATGTATGTGATCATGTGATAACATTTGATTATTATTGAGCCTATGACTACATGTATAGATCCTTCATTACTCGATGACACTGACACAACAGTTGACACTGCTTTAGAGAGGTACTCATTATATTATACAAGTATACTAATATATAGTTATAATTTATTTTATAGGACAAGGCGTTTGTTAAAGCGCAAGACTGCAGTACCAGACACTACTGGGGCAGCTCGAGTTGCCTCTATGCTTGTTCCTAAAATAAAGACAGAGAAAATGGAGGACGAAGATGAAGAGAGATTGGCTGGAGAGGCTGAGAATGGACTGATAGTTATTGATACTACAGCAGAATTTTGTAGACAAATAGGAGAAGAAGAATCTGAATTAGACAAAAGTATATACATGTGCATGTACAGAATATGCTTGTAGCCATTTCTTTATGAAGTAGCATGTAGACATGTACTATAAGTACATGGTCTTTGGCCCCGTCCAACCAAAAAATAACAGAGTGTTTCTCTGTTTGCTATTAGGTAAATGGAAGAATGTTGGGGACACAGAGTTAATGGTATGCCATACTGTGTAATTAATACACTATTGTGTACTGATATTTATGACAAACAGGAAGAAGGAGATCAGGATATTGATGGTGGCTGGTCTGAGATTGATCCCAACAACAAGCAAAATGAGACTACACTAGAAGTGAGCAATGGAAAGAACTGTAGATTATTTAACTCGTTACTTAGAAACCCGACGTCTTAGAACTGGAAGCTAAGACGCATTTGACTGGAGTAGCAGCTGCACTTCAGATGGCTACCAAGAAAGGTTTTATAGACTCTGAGAAAGATAAAGAAGCCATTAAAAAGAAGAAAGGAGACTCTAAGACCATTATTGAAGGCCTTGGGACAAGAGATTGGTAATAGCTACCCCATCTACATGTATGCATACACTCTACTGTTGAATTGATTGATTGATTTCTTGATTGATTAATTCCTGATTCCTTGATTGATTCCTTGATTGATTGATTGATTGGTTCCTACATTTATAGGGAATATGAGAGAGACAGAGGACGCGAGAGGGAGAGAGATAAGTAAGCAAAATTAAGTTAAATGTTTTGGTTGGATGACTTTTCTCCTCAGAGACACTCATGGGAGGGATATGGCATTTGTAGAGAAGAAGGACTACGTGCCTGAAGTTAACATTGAATATGTGGATGATCATGGAAGACTCCTAACAGCTAAAGAAGTACTTAAAAGCACACACACACACACACACACACAGTATTACATTTACTGTCACTTTGTTGGTTGTAGGCATTTAGACACATGTCACACAAATTCCATGGGAAAGGTCCAGGAAAGAAGAAAGTTGAAAAACTTATCAAAAGAAGAAAAGAAGATGTGGTAAGGAGAAACAACAATGCAATGAATGCATTATCTTTATTTTTTAAGCTTCTTGAAGTGTTTTTTTAATATTAATGTTATTCCTGTTTTAGCTTCTTAGTAAATCTGATGCTGGTGATACTCCATTACAGTCGCTTGAGTTACTGCGTAAGAAACAGGAGGTCTCCCAATCAGCTTATGTAGTGTTGACTGGACAGCAACACCAACAACCAATGCACATGTAAGCCGCAGTGTATTGCATGTACACCCAGTTATTACTGTTACCTTTTTCTAGTGCTGAGCTGTCAAAAAGAAAATGATCAATTGACCTTTTTGCATCTAGTATAAAATGAACTTTTAATACGATAAATCTTCACACTGTATACTAACAACACACACAAAAAAAGTTTAAAAAATAATAAGTCTAATATTGTTGGCAGTGGTTTTTTCATTCATTCTCACGCAAAAAAATTAAAATAATATTTAATATGCACACGCTTAAAATGAGGAAATAGTTTAAGATTTCTGCACAGCTGACTCGTCTACTTTTCCTCCTAATATTTTGGCTTTACGCAATGGAAAGAAGCCAATTTTGCGACCTTCAATCTGCAGATAATAAACAAACAAGAACAATAGCAATAAAAGATATTGTATTCTAGTGCAGCAATTTTTGTATCCCTTACATTGTCATTGATGTATTTCTCCAGTGCATTGTGATCATTGGGATGCATGGAGTCAAGATGAAGCAGAAAATACACATAATTCCACATGTGGTGATCATTCAGTACGTGATCACGAAATCCCTAATGTATATATAGAGAGAAAGAGATAAATGGGTCTATAACAGGTTCATATCACAAACATACTTTCCCTTTTCTTTCAAAAGTATCATTATCAATACCACACACAAAGCAGTAGTTCAATTTGTCACTTTTAATTTCATCCTATTATTATAAGATATGCAGAAATATTTAGTTGCTGCAGGCTATTAAAAATTTACCCTTTCACTCCTCAGCTCAGAGAATCGGTCAACTATGATGGCCACAACAATATTGAGTCCAAGAGTGGTGATGATAATGAAGAAAGCCAAGTCAAATATAGTCTTCACTGCATATATTGTGAAGG